TCTCTCCTGTGCCCCTGTACCGGCGCTCAGCTGAGCCCTCAACAAATTGGTTCAAGGTGATTCAAAAAACCAAGTTTCCCAGCAGCATTGCTCTCTCAGTCAGCTTACTGAGGGGTCAGGATCACCCTAGGGAGGGCAGAGCACAGCAGTCCAACCTGGGAACAGTGTCACCTGCCTGGAGCTGTGCCCAAGATATTTTTGTTTGGAAGTGGTCAACAGTAGGGGCAGATAGGGAAAAGTTAACATTTTAGCAAAAAGTCACACACTGCAAGGATGTTACCTTTCTATTGACACTTTTCTTTTGCTTTGTGTATTTTTTCTTTCTTTTCCCCACAAAAGCACCAGATTTGTTGTATGTTTATAAAAATTGCATTTTGCATCCTCACCAACCTGTTCTGAAAAGTATCCTTTCCACCAGAACTGGTTAATGGACAGAAAAATCTGGGAAACATTTCAAGTTCCACTACCTAAAGCCCGAAAAAGGCACTCTCTTCTAATTTAGCACGGGACATGCTCAACACAGCTCTATAATTCAAGAGAAAGTCAATGGTGATATCTTCATAGTACCACTGAGGTGTTAGGAATACAAAGATCTTGGAAAGGATGAGAAAGAAAAAAAAGCATCCTAGGCCATTTAGGCTGTCCTGGCACCACTGGACTGCTTCCAGCAGCCTATTTTCTATTTCCTTACTGTGAAACTCATCAAATCTGACTGGTTCTCAGAATACAGCCATTCCAGTCCAATTATAATGGAGCAGTTTTCTTAATTCTCTAAAGCAGCAGGACTGTTTATTTAAATATATAATTTCCTCTATTTCTCTGATGTTTTCTCTATGCCAAGTCACAGGGCTTCTGGCATTTTGCCTTGACACAAGGCTTCTATCTAATTAGCCTTATTGTCAGGTTCTTTCCATTATATGCATCCTAAAATTTTCATTCTTGTACTCAGCCAGCAGCTTGTTTACATTGGTCAAGTAGCTCCTTTCTTTTTTTTAAAATTTGTATTTCAGAAATTATTCAACTACTTTTAGTTAATACTTTGTGCCTGTTCACAAATATCACAATCAAATAAACTCCACATTTAACAGGACCCTGCATATGTCTCAATATTTAGCTTTGTTACTTGCAAAAGGGGGAGAAAAAAAAATTTTAAAAAGGGGCACTCACCGTCATTTGTAACACCTAGCACATCAGCTACCCAAAGTGTACATTTCCCTGGCATACTGGAGATACACCAGCATTTCTAAAGGAATGTATATTATGGTGTACTCCTGTTTTAGACAGTTTTGTGCTAACACAAGTTCAAATGTGTGAATACCACTGACGTTCACATTTCACTTTAAAGACCCGTGAATCTGTTTTACAGCATTCTTGTTACAGGTTTACAGGTTATTACTAACATTAAGAATGATAAAAAAAATTAAGCTAGACCACACGTGAACAGAATACGTACATTAACAGATTTGTAACCCATTCTAGAGTTAAGTTCTTTCAAGAATTTTTCACTCAGATCATTCTCTTCTGCTTCAAAGAACTGTATGGAATTTGGTGCTGTCCAGTAGTATCATCAGAGTATCTAAATACTCCAATGGGATCCCAAGAATCACCTTAACCTTGGGGAGGTAATTTAAGAGAATTCTTGAAGAGACAGAATTCCTCAATTGAACCAGAAGCAGTGACCTCATCTGGATCTTATTTACACTTGGTCACAAAGTTTAGAATACATCTTAGTCCTATATAGGAAGCTCTTAGAGTAGCCCCAGCAAGAAAGTTCTTCACTTAAACTCCAAGAGCCACTGCTAACTACAGAAGCAAGCTATAGCCTATCTTCGCTGAGCTCCAGTGCTTTTCAGCCATTGGTTTCCTTTCTAGAAAGATTGTCTATTGATTAATACTAGTCCCACTGCAGCAGCAGAGGGAGCCCAGGTTCCCATACAACACTCATGATCAGTACAATCTATAATGTTGTCTTTTGTTAAACAAGCAGAATTGTTGAAACACATTTCCCACTATTCCTATCTTGTGAACTTCCTTATGCCCGACTACCTTCGAGTATCAGTAACAGTTCTTTTTATTTCTCAACACCAGGAAGGACATGTTCATGACACAAGTTTAGAAGGGAACACATACAAAGCAGCCAGAAAACCTCAAAGTATAAAGCAAAAGAGGCCATGCAACAGAATTTAAAAAATATGTTGTTAAAAGTCATGCAGTTTGCATGCATTACAGTATGGCAGGTGCAGAGCACACACATCAAAACAAAATGACAAAAGAAACAGAGGTTTTGATGATACTAGTTTCTGATGGATCCCCTACCTTCAAAACCCAGACAGTAATGGCACACTCTCAGACCCTTCATAATGCACCACCTTGGGCACTCTTCAACCCTTGTAAACATTTTTCTTCAAGTTTCCATGTCTTTTGCTATAGCAAGCCTCCCCACTAACATACTTCCGCTATGAAGATGCTTCTCAAGCATTAACCTCTTAACCTCTTCCATGAGCCACACACTTGGTGAGGCCATCTAGCACAATGGAAAGACAAGACTCTTCTTCTCATCCTCCAAAATAAGTTGATTTTGATAAAAACAAATGTCACTAAGATTTTGATGTTCTGTAGGCAGTGAAAAAAGTGCTAAAAAGTTTATTCTGTAAAAGTTCCATTAGCATGTGTGAAAAGAATTCCCATCATATTGCCTTGTAAAAGTACGTGTCTCAATGCCGAGTTACCATTTTAACTGCGGGACCCACACTTGGGAAACCTTCTGCACTTTTATGACTACCATCAAAGGAGCCAATTAGCACCATTTATAACATTTGCCTTCTCCAGCATGGTACTTTCATTTATACCATAGACACATGAATCTAACATCTCAGTATTTTATTCTAGTTCCATAAACTGCATGATAATCCTTCATACATTTTTAAAGGAGAATTATGCTCACTACCATTTTTCGGTTAGAAACATTTATTTCATTTCAATGATAGTCAAAAATTGGCCTGAGGAAGCAGCAAGCTTTTGCCCCCTGCTACCCCCAACTAAATCCAAACAGATGATAGACAACCATGTCAAGTCTTTTGGGTGGCTTATGGAAGAAAATACATCCATTCTACGTGTTTTTGATTGACAAGAATCCTCTTTACTTAGTACTACACCAACTCACAAGCCCAAAATGGTTCAAGACTGAAACGGTCACAAGGAACGAACTTTCTGTTCTGTGTCTTCTGCCTGCGTTTATACCTTGCAGTAAACTGACAGGACTGTTTGATATCGCCTGCGATGGAGATGTAACAAATAGCTTAAAGAAATATAATGGTGTATCACTCTTGTGTGCTTTCATAAACCTTATAGTAAGGAGCTATACAGGACAAAAAGCTACGTCTTCATTTATCTTAATTTGGTTTTATCTCACTTCACCTTAGGAAAAATAAAAGGTTCTGAATGAGAGGTGCCTCAGCTGCTAAGCCCATGGATCATCCTGGACCTTTAAAAACTCCTTAACTACAAACGGTGCAAAGAAATAGGGCTGATAACTTGAATGCTTTATGCTAAGATGAAACGTCACAGATGGCTTTTTAGCACTCAACAATTCATACCTGAGGGACCACCAACATAAACATACAGACCAATTGTATGTTTTTCTCATTGAAAAGAAAAAACAATAAAACTAAGAGTTTAACCAAAGTGACTAGTGTAACAGATTCTAAATATCCTACTGAATATCCATAATTATTTTTAGAAGTCCCATTGTAAATGACATGTTACAAAAGCAACTTTGTTAACGCAATCGCACTGCTTACCTGAAGGTAATGCTGTTGATTTAGGTAGCTCGGTTGGTGTAGTTTTACTGGTACCAGGGCTCAGAAGTTTTACATAATTAGCAGGGAACCATCCTATCTGCCGTTTTTTCCCTCGTGCCTAGTGAAAAAACAATTCTTTTAAAAGGATTAAGCGAATCTATAGATCCTTAGACAAGGTAATTCCAACAATATTTTAACTACTTGCAGTCACACTGACTATTTTAGAATAAGGAAAAATGCGTTTTATAAGGAAAAAGCTATTTTTTGTGGCAATAGTTTAATACTATGATACTTCTATTACATGAAGTAAACCTTCATAATATCTAAACAGTAGTTATTTACTACGAATTTGAGTGATTTTTCACTTAACAGTGTTCCTACTTTGTGTGCTTTACAATTAATACTACAACCCTGACTCTACTGAAAGATTTCTCCCGATTCTGTTTAAACCATAACTCTAGAATATTAGGTGAGCTATTGCATTAATGAATGGCAGCATTTAAATGCTTTTTCATCGTGCAAAGAATTACATTTAAATAGATACCTAGACTGTGATAGCTTAGGTAAAGAATAACATTCCAAATTACCTCTTTTCTTTTAAGGAAAGAGTATCTTTAATACTTAATTATTTAATAGCTTCTCCTGCCTGAACAACAGATAAAATATAATGTATGTCACATTAAGCAAGTGCTAGAAGAACAGCAAAACATTATGGCAAGAAAAAATGAGTGAAGTTTGGATTCAAATACAAAATCCCAAAGCCAGATTCCAGTCAAACAAAAATTAAGCTTTGGCAACTACAAATACATACGGACAGACACTGTCCAAACGATCCTAATGAACAGATGTTAAGGTTTTAGAAAGTACACTAGACGTTCTCATGCCTATCTAATCAGAGAACATCAGTAGGAAAACGTGGTGCCCATATGTATCAGTGTGTGTGGTCCACGTGGGTGCGCTGAGAGCGCAGCAGGTTACCGTACACCTGGCCTACAGCAGCGCTCTACAGCGTATAACGCAGCTGGCCAGGAGTCACTGTCAGAGACGGGATATTGGGACAGATGAACTGGAACTGGTCTGATCCAGCGTGACAGAGCTTGCGTCACCAAAGCAGGATAGGAATTTGACAGAAGCTGCATCCTGTTATTTCACCAACCGCATTGTTCATTGCAAATAAAATCAGAAAAAAAATCCTTACTGTAAGAAAGATTTATTCTAAAACTCTGAACCAAATCTGAGCTTCTAAATCTGTTAAACCTATGTTAAGAATTACTTTAACTGTTTATTTTCTTTTTGTGGTGTTAGAATAAGGTTGGAATTTTGGGCATGTAGATTTTTGCCTTTAAAAATAAAACAGATGTAAATTTTAGTGAAAAAAGTCATCCAACACACATACTATTCGTTAACTACTTTCTTCCCTCTCTTTTTCTTTACTGAAAAAAAAAAAAACCCACTCGATCTAAAGTGTATCTAGATCATTCATTTTAAGATATTTTGGAAGACTGCATTAAAGCCAGCAATGTAATGCTTACCATATTTGCCTTATTTTACTTTCACCCCGACCCCTAAGACAAGTATCATCAAAATTCACTTCAGGCTGAAACTGAACTGTATATACACTTCTAAAAGATCTGCCACTTTGAAATTAAATGCATAAAGAAAAGTTAGTATTAGTGTCCTTCTGCAAATCTTGTCATAATTTCAATACTTTGACGGGGGTGGTGCTTTTATTTTTTACCAGTTCCTCAATCCATTTCACTATAGTGCTGCATTAGCCTTTGCACTCACATAACAAAGGAACAAGAACTAGTATTACAGTTCTTTCATTACAGGGGAATGAAAAGAATAGATGGGGAATTGCTAATGAACAAAAAAACAACTTGTAAAAAACAATACGTAAGACAGTAAGGTATCCAAAGCTACACATGAGTATTTACACAACCAAAATGAATTTTTAAGAATATCCTTACATTAGCTGCTAAGTGGCAATTGTGACAGCTATTGCCCAGTGAAGCTTATTTTTTATCTTAAAATACATTTAACGTGAGACTCTTTAAAGCTGCAAGTTAACAACAACATAAAGGTTAGTGAGAATGAAAACCAAAGCAATCCTGGAAGATGATTTCTCCACAAAAGATGAAAAAATATCACCAGGAAAGGCAAAAAGGGCAGGTAGTAATGTGGAAAAAAATATCTGAGTTAGTTTGAGCATCTGAATTGCAAAAATAAGTCAATTACATTCTTTCATGTAATATTCCCTGTTAAAAAAAACCAAAACCAACCAAAACCTCATTCAGTGGTACTGGAGGGAAGCGGGGGAAGCTTTGCCACTGAAAGTCACTGAGAACCAAAATTTCCAAACTGTCAAGTTCTACTCTCCCATCTGGTGCTTGTGACAGACACCATTCTTTTCTCTCTCCTACATTAAATTGAATTCTGGCTGAGATGTGGCCCTTGGACTGGTATTCTACGCTGCCACATTTATTAAGCAACCTGAAAAAGTGGTGGCCATCTTACAAAACCCACTGCTGCCAAATACTTCTCAATCTTTCAACACAAGGGATAGCCAAACTTTTGGCTGAAGCAATTTAGAAAGTTTCTCTGGAAGACATTCAGGACTGTGCACTCCAGTATTTCTTCCACTTCCACAGCACACGCAGGTATCAGCTGATCCAAATGCACGTGATGCACACGGTCACTGTTGGAGCAGGACATACAAGCAGACCTTGTCACTTAACCCAACAGTCCCATACACTCCTGTTGCATGGCTGACTTTCCCCACCACTTGACACGATGACTGCTTTTTTGCCTATATGAAGACAACTACTGGACACGAGACTGGGAGGATTCAAAAGCAGCCAAAACAATACACCCTAAAATCCACTCCTTGCTTGTATCTGAAGGGTCTCCTGGAGAATGTACAAGGAAGCGGACTGCAGACTGGGTCTGATTTGAGATGGGTAGCCTTGACTTACGAGGCGCAATGGCCTCCCTCCTGCTGTCCTCCAAAGATAGTTCAAGTTCAAGGAACTGGAATGTATGTATATTTTTGTAAAGGCATTTTATTTGTAAATGCTTAATTGCAGAACATTTTCAAAATTATCACTGATGCATTCATCATTTTGAACTATTAAAAAAACTACAATTTTTTTTACATGGTATTTTATTTCAAAAAAACAGTAACTAACTTGGAGCTCTCCTTCCCACCAGCCACCTGGATTCTTCTTTCTGATAAGAATCAACTGACCAGGAGCAAGAGTAAGCTGTTCTGGACCCGTTGCTGTGTAGGAGGCAATAACTTGGGCAATTTCTGTTGAAGTGGGGGAAGAAAAAAAGTTAATTTGTAAAGACCTGAACACATTCTATACAACATTAACCCTGCTATTATCACTAGGACAGTATATCAATTTTATATTTTTTGCCATAAAATTGTTAAGTATTTATGTAGTTCCATGAAAACATATGGTAATTATAAAACAGATCATAAGTTAATAGCACTACAGGAATAAACCAGAGGTGCAGCAGCTCTACGGGTAGGATAGAAAAAAATATTTGAACTAGAGAAGAAGAATGACCATCATTAGAGCTACATGCCTCTTAAAATCAAGTGTCATAATAGTTTTCAAAAAAATAAACTTTTGTAGCATCAGTTTGGACTAAGCTCCCTAAAAAGAGGAGACACACATTGATGACAGTATAATGAAGAAGTTGCAGTAACAGAGGTGCAAACTAATGAAGGCCTACAGGAAAATTTTCACCACCAGACCAGATAAAAAAAAAAAGAATGTTTTCAAAATGTAACAAACAGGATTTACTCTGAAATCTTTATTCCATGAACATTAATACAAAACTGGTGCCTTATTCAATCACCTACCAGCATGAATCTGATGCAGAGTAACTGTGAGCTCACAATTATCTCTCAGTTAAATTAGTCAAAGTAGACAACACAGTTCACTCCATTTTAGAGTGGTTGTGGAAAGACAGACGATAACTTAGTCAACCCAAAGTCTGGCAGGGTTAACCCATTTTTTGAACCAATTTGAACGGACAGGAGCTTATAAGCAGCTGTAGGTATTTTGATGTCCAACTGATAGCTTTTAAGTCAGGTTTAGCATGTCATCAAACCATGTTTAGGGTGAAGAAGAACATGTTTAATACTATGATAACTGAGAACCTTTTGTAAACAAAAGATGGTAGATTTGGGAACTTTTTAGCTTTTGGTAAGCTAAACCTTTTAAGCTGCTACATTTACGTAGGCCCTTTTTAGTCATGAGTTAAGGGGAACCTGCGGGTGTAAAGAGTCTCAGACATCCAAAGCAGCACAAAAGTAGTGCTGTTACTGCTGTAAACCCACTTTTTCAGTGATCAAAACTTGATCCCAATACACAGTCATTCATCACTTAAGTATCCTCCTTAACAGAATGATCTAGGGGTTGGGTTTTTTTGGGGGGAGGGGGAGTTTGCTTTTTTGTTTTTGTGAAAAACGTTTCCTGGAATAGAAAAATTCTGACTCTGTGTTTAAGACAAAGGAGATCTTTATCTGGCAATGCATCAAATAAAGTTGGGGACCATCAAACAGCCGATGTGGACACTGAGTTTGACTGATTATGGTTGTGGTCTAAGACTATCCTAGAACAAGCCCACAACAGAGCTTGTAGTATAACATCACAGAAATGTGTTTCAACCGCTTCAGTGCAAAGACAGCCAGCTTCATTTAAAACCTCAGCAATTATCTGATCACAGATCAACACACTGCTTGAGAGTTTACCTTTTATTTTTAAATCTTAATTAAAAAAATATCTGTTTCAGATATTTTCACTTATGATTACTTATGTTTGTACAAAATTTCAATCTAGTCCATCCTAAAAAACTGGCACTGGAAGACTAAGCAGAAAACAGTCACACCTGCCATCAGTCTGTCCCTTTATAAAGCGGAAGAAAGCAATGTGACAATGAGTGTGAGGTGGACTAGACGTCAACACAGCAACAACAGCAAAAGAGACTGAGGCCGAAGGGAGCAAAGTACACAGAAGTGGTCTCCAGCTTTCTCAGGGGCAGCCGTACTAAGACAGTAACAGTGCTGGGCACCATCCTACTTGGCCCTCTCTGTCAACAAGCGCCAAATTTCCTGTGGCCAAGAGAAACAGCAAAAGCGCTCAATAACAACACATCACCCCCAGGCTGGGAAAGGAGGGGGGAGTTTGCTGGCAAGGCAGAGAAAGGGAGCAATCATTGAAAAGGCAGTTGTAGGCAGAGGAAACCACAAAGCTGACTCCCTTGAAACAGAGGGAGGCTTTGTTGCAGGCGAAGAAACAACAAAGTGATTTGAAGACTGCCAGGAAAGCGAGCAGATGGTTTACTTCGAATTTAGAAGAAAAAGGATGATTAGGAAAGTTTAAAATGGTTAGAGAAGCATTCAAGATGTACATGAACAACATAAGGAGGATGCAGCAGCACAGAGATGACAAGCAATCCAAGGTCACTGCAAACGATGACACATGCAGAATTAACTATGGCAGAACCTCCCTCATGGTATCTCAAAGAGGGGAGCGACAGGTGACAAAAAGCCAGTAGCTTAGAGTAGAAAGACACTTTAAACCTGGATCTAGAGCTTAGCACAGAAAGTGTGAAAGCAGAAGATAGAAGAAAGAATTTCTAAGTAAAATATAGTAGTTGATGATAGGAGAGCAGAAAAGTTTACATAGAGAAAAGCCAGCAGCAGCACAGTCTGTCCTGTACGAAGGCAAAGCAAGCAAGCTGTTTGGCAGGAAACACGGCTATACTGCTAGAAAGTCTGCAAGCTCCCGGCATTTGCAGGTTTTTCCACAGAACCACATTAATTCATCCACCCTAGAGCCATTCAGGAGCGAGAATGAACACAAGCAAACAAATTAACTGTGGGAGTTTGTCAAAATAATTTTTTTTCTTTTTTACATCAGGCAAAAACCTCTCTCTCTATAGTGGCAATTATAATACTCAGTATATCATACTGAAAGAGCAAAAATCTTATACCTTGCTCTCGGAGCAATAAATTTTTCATTTTTATCCGCAAAAAGGTGATTTACAAGGCTACAGGTATCAGTTATCATCTTCCACCAACCAGTAGCACAAAGAATTTTTTACTGTGGACTGTGTATAAGTTGTAAATAAGTTACAATACGAAAGACAAGTTTCACATTCAGCTCTTGCATGTCACAGAGAAGCAAAGTTAGAGAAAACAACTCAGCAAAAACGTTAAAAAAAACCCCAGAAATAGCTTTCCTTCCAGGAAGGACTTTTTAATTTTGATTAAGTATTGAATTACTGAGAAGACATCCAATTCAATTAAAGTCCAGGCCAAAAAATGTGGCCTCTACTAAAACAGGTACATTTAGGGAAAAAAATGCCTTCTCACAGACATAATTATCCTCATATTGCTGCTTAAATTTGCAGAGAGCAGTTTCTTTTCCCTTGCCCTTCAACACACATCGTTACCAACTCCCACCCACTTGTCCTGCTGCTTCTAGAATAAACAGGAATATTTCACCTCATTCATTAGCATTTCACTTCCATTGGCTGAGCACTTACAGCTCATTTATAGCAAAAACAACCATGAATATCACCGCTGAAAACCAGTCAGAATTGTTCCCAAACTGTTTTTAAACTCCAAAAGATTCTGAACACAGCTTTTGTCAACATCCCCCCAGGCTCCACTGAAAGTTTGAATCCAGGAGAGCAGCTATTATAGGCTGAAGTCTTGCCATCCACCATTCTCCCACGCATGCAAAGAGCAGCCAGTCCTATCAGCATCTTCTTGCTATTCCTACTAGGTATCACTTTTAGAGGTTTTCCAGATCTCTGTTCTTGTCTGCCCCTCTTGGGCTTTGTATCTATTAACATAAGTATTTTTATTCATGCAAATGAAAGTTAGAAAGGGCAGGAGTAGTTTACTTCCAAGCCCTTCTTTCCACAGATGGAACAGTAAGATTTGACAAGAGCAGCCCGCTGCTCATATGTCAAGGTAAAATAAGCCAAATGAAGTTGGGGTTCCTGCAATCTACTCTCCCCCTCTCCTCTTACACAGTGAACCAGTTCAGGGACATAAAGCAAGACCTTCTCCCCACAAAACAAAATATACATATGCACGTGGCGTGTATGGAAATAAAGCAACACTTGGTAGATCGCATCCTTGAACCACCTCACTGTGCAACTCAACAAGCCTCGGAGAAAGGGACAGCACAGAAGCACGGAGCACCCCCTATTTAGTTTGGTTCAGCTCAGTGCAAAGTCACCTCTTTGGCACAAAAGCAAATAAACACACTGACAGGAAAAAAAAGAGGTGTTGTAAACTTTTGGAAAGTTTACAAATGCCTGCCAGTGGCAGAGAATCCACTTTTCTAACTATCTTTGGAAATACAATGGCTGTTTGGAAGGACAGCCCCCACTACCCCAAGAGCCAGGGGACCTCTTTGTACCCAAAAAATAACCTGCAACATGGTCTTCTGCAATATGACCAGGCTTGAGAGGCAATAAGCTACACAGCGTGGACACAAGGTATGTGCTCTTGAAAAGAGCAAGCAGGCACAACAGCTTACAGAATCTATGTGTATCATACTGTATAGCATTCTGGGCAAAATGCAGTAAAACCACAGGGTAAGAAAGTAGCAATGTAAAAACGTACTTCCATTTTCAGAGGCACTGGCAAACTTGGGCTTTTTGTAGGCTTCCACTGTTCTGTTCAGCAATCTATCATGAAATTTACATTTACTTTTGAGCAAGCAGATTTTTGTTCTCTAGCTACATGCTATTTAGCGATTGATACATGCTAGATAGAATCATGGATGGATTATGCGTTACTTTATTACAGACAAGAGTTTTCATCAGTGCAAATTAATACAAAATGACCAAGAGCAAACATAATTTATTTTCATGGAAAAGATTTTGTTGCCATTGAACTTCACAGATAAAAGGTGCTGTCACGTTATACGACTCACCAGGTTTCTTCCCTAAGCTTCCAGTTTTTCCAGCTGCTCCAGGAGCCTTGAAATAGAAAGTAAGGTGTAAGTTTAGCACTCATATTTATTTCTCCACTATATGAAAATTATTTACTATGCTTCACTAAACAAGCATGTAAGTAAAACACTCTCACAGAAGATTCTATTCTCACAGAAACCCTTAATATTTTAGATGGCAATTAATATACAGGAATAAATACCCAGCAGTGTATGGAAGTGGATGACTAACTACAAAAATGTGTAGTCTTCCTTCCTGAACTTTTCTTCCTTTCACAGACTGCAAATACCAATGTAATTCTAAATTACATAACATTCGAATTGTAAATCTGTGTATCTACAGAATGTGAATTCTGTCAAGTTGAGTTAAAACAACAGTAGTTTTCAATGCTACAAAAGTTGGATTGCAAATACACCTAAAAAACTAACCGGACATAATTATTCCAAATTATTCCAATGTTGTCCATACTATGGTTCTAAAATTTCTCATACGGCACACTAGCATAGTCAGCTGAATCACTGCATCTTTAAGACGAGTCATCTAAACTTTGGTGGTAGTGTGTATTGCAGTAGTAAAAGCCCTACCAATATTTTCGTGCCCAAGTGAGAGCATCGGACACTGAATAGCAAGGTGCTGTCTATCTGTAGCTATTTCGTCTGAACCTAGATGGGGTGAGATGAGGGATGAACATCATCATCATCCAGGCCAAGACATTTGCAAGAAAAGCCTTTGAACAGCCACAAGAAACCCAGCAAGCAGTGAAATTACTTCAGTTCAGTTATGTATAGGAAAAGAGCGATACTGAAAGATGACATTTAATATAAAAAGCTTTCATAATTTACAAACTCAAAGTTCTCCTCCTGAAAGAAAAAAAAAACCAAACCAACAAATATTTTCCTTTGCGGCCACTGGTTATTTGGGAAGAGCTATCTCTATTTATTTTAATGCATTCACAGGTCTACTGATACACATGCAGTTAGATTATTCAAAACAGTGTGTGGTCTCAACTCTGCCCCTTGCATGCATCCCTTCGTCAGCCATCTTCCCAACCATTTTAGTCACCATCACTGTCTAGGATAGCTTCCCCCTGCTACCTAAGTAATTACTTCAGTTTCTTCCCAGTACATTGCCAGTCTTATCTTCTGCAATAAAAAGGTTTGATATGGATAACAGCAACATAACAAATCTAAACTGTACTTTGGTCAGAAATGTTGAATAATCATGAATATCCCCCTGCCCTCAAGCAACGCTCACAACACTTCCACCTCCCCTCAACTTCTCCTTTAGGATCCTCCTTACAAACTTGGAGTCTACATCAAGTGACCTGATGGCTTTCACAGAGTCCCAGTTCCTCTATGGAAAAGAATAGTTTCATCCTCAATATTCTTCATATTAACTTGACACTTTGAAAACTTGGGCATTCTGGCAGTAACTAATATAAGGAGTAACTAAAAAACTAGTTAAATGACTGAGAGAACAGGGTCATTTAAAAAAATGTGTATTGGTTTTGAATGCATCTATAAAATAGATTATTAGACAGATCTTCAACCTGTCTTGAAGATTACATAGCTGCTCTAAGACATCCACATTTTGAACATCTTTCAGAAAAGCTACTAAAGAAGCCTGATCTTTCAAACTACAGCACCTCATAATGCTGTATTAATCAAGTCAAACCCATCTAATAACAGCAGAAAATCCAGCGCAGTTGGCATTGCCTACCTCACAAGGTGTAACTGGTATGGGAAGATAAGAGTGGGAATGGGAAGATTTTTATTTTTTTTTAAATTTGGCACCAATGCACCTTACATATATCTAATACACCATTGACATTTTGCAACTTAAATTTTGGGAAGGATTGTGAAAAGTGGATGCTTTAAGTTAAATGATACTTAGATACCACTGTCCCAGTGCTACTTTCTTGGCACTGTAAAAGACTGATTATCATTACTTTCTACAAGGCCAGCAAATCTTCCTTTCTTCCCTACGTTCCTTTCTTTCTTTTCAGTTCTTCACCTTCCTCTACAACCACTGTGACCTATATTAACAAAGAAACTTAAATAGGAAAGCGTCACGCAGAGATCAGATACAAAGACTAAGTTTAGGTCTGGGGACAAGGAGAAGATGGTCCTGACAAAATGACTGCTAGTCCATCGACAGACCTAAGTAGGGAAGATTAAAAAATGTGGAACCAAAGGTGATGACTAGCGCTGATATGGTAATATCGGGAATTAATTCTGCGTTGGAAAGCGTTTCTGGCAGAGAAACACCCGCCCTCTTCCTCAATAAAGAACAAGTGTTTGGACCTTCAGAGAACACACTCCTTCAAAATACCACTTAGTCAACATCCATGTTGCCAAATTAGGAACATACGGACAGATAAAACAGGCTGTGACACTGCACCTTTACAGTTAACTGGTAAACATATAGAGGTTATTTTAAGAGAGGAGCTTCAAAATCACCTCGACCAGACTCTGAATTTCATCTGAAGATTCTCTGAATCCTTGGTACAAAAGCAGAAGAAATACATAGAAAAGTCCTGCAGGACATCTATAAATAACTAAGTTAATAAATAATGCATTTAAGATGGACCCAACTTCTGGCACACACAGCAGATGAAGCATTTCTATTCTTTCTGTTGACTGAAACACAGTGGAGACAACATACCCCATTCTATCTCCCTTTCGCACACCTGAGACACTAACTGCATTTGAGGATATTTTGTGACAAGTGATAAAGCCTCTTGAAACAGTGGAGTGGAACTTCCTTTGTTAATTTAATAAGACAGAGCAGTAGACTTGCCAATTGTGTTGTACAGCAAGACCCTTAGAATCCAGATTAAATACATTCAGACTGTTACTATTTTCAGAACATTTACGCAAAGTTTTTTAACTAGAGGTGTCTAAATTTTTGTGTTTCCAAGCCCACCGTATGGGCTCCATACCTTACGCAGAGCTAATTATCACCAGTCTCAAGAAAGGCAGGGTAGAATAAAAACGTTTTACAGACCTGTATCCATCTACCTCAATCTAATGAAAAGTCTGAGAATGAACCAGTGCCATTGTTTATTTGAAGAATAAAGACTTCACTCTGTTAATAAGTCGAAACTTTAAGGAACAGGAAATAGTTTAATGCAGCAGCTTGAGGTGAATGCGCAGTCTGGGATTAGGGACTACATACAGAAGAACAGATTCAAAAAAAATTGGTAGAAAAAATGTTAGAAACCATTGATATTTTGAGGCTTACAACCATTTCTACAAACTCTATACTTGCTGTTGAAATATCAGCACTGCCTTACTTTTTCTTCAGGCCTAAGTCAATAGTGCAGAACACATTAAATTAATTTACTCTTTTAGTAACATTTTCCACAATCAGCCAGCTGTCCAAGCACAGCAGCACATCTGAAAGTTAAAAGACAGCCACTATTGTGAAATCCTTTGTAAAAACTGGCTCTGTGAACAAGCTGAATAGCAAAACACTGTACGTGTAATGGCAATTATCCACTTGGAACAAGAAATACATCCTGCAGGGCATATGAATCACTTTATGAAAACAAGCATCCCGGATATCAAGATCTCCGTGAGCTCTGTGCTTTTTCCTCCTTCTCTCATCAAGATTTTATCTGAAGATGTGATTTTTCACAAGCAAAAAGTGCAGTTGGCTCACTTTCTGATGAACTGCACTTAGCTGTTTCAGCCCCAGACAAGTTGAGATCAGAGAAACATCAAATTGACCTCTCTAACAAAAATAGTTTTCAGTATCAAATGTCTATTTCTGAGTTCTTCTACAAAGAAGATTTGCCAATATGTGTGGCTGGCTCTCACCAGACAGGACAAGCATCCAGTCCTTAAAGGCACAAAACACAGCTCTGCACATCTGAATACAAATTCCCAGGTTTTGAGACTAAACTCTGTTGAGAGCATCTTAAAGGAAGACAAAACCAGCTACTTCACAACAGTTCAAAGGAAACTTAACTAACAAGGATGTAGCTAAGCAACTCATTAGCAACTATTACTATCTACCTATGAAACAGGCCTCACAGGGTTTTAGGAAGTTGACAGTGCAAGTTCTCACCCAACTACAATACGAACTTAGGGGTAATATAGAGACTGAGGGCACAGTTTTAAGATCACAAGATATTCCACAGGTTAGGCAATTATCTGTATACTTGTTCCTATATCTCTGTGGGCCAAGTCACCATCTTTTTTATGTATGCGAAGAATTACTGGCAGGGCTGAACTATAATCCACATTCTGAACTGCAAAAAGGAGTGGTTTTTTTCCAGGTAAATTCCCTGATACAGACCTGCAAACACCTCCGCTGCCAGAACTGAAGGGATGTTGCACCACTCAGAGGAGAATCAAGCTACTAGACTTGGGGACAGAGAATTCAGAACTTCTTGTCCAGATTCTCACTGAGCTCTGTTGTCAGGGTAAACCTATACCCTGCCTAAGACCACAACCTATTACTGTACAAAATTTACTCCAATTGTCAAAAAGACCAGTTAGCCTGCTGTGATGGGCTTCATAGTGCTACAGCTATAATGCTTCCACTAACTGAAGCATTAAGCACCCCTCTTCTAGTCTGGGACCTGATCTAAGTTTATCTGCTGCTCCATAGTCACTAGATTTGATGCAACTGAAAGGTAGGAATGAGCACAGGCATATCCAAAACCATATACTAAACGTAAGGTATAAAGTTTTGCTTCTAAAATGAAGTATTTAACAGAAAAGCCAGCTAAAAATGCAGTTCAAAACCAGCTCAAGCTCATCTTAAGCTGATGCTGAGGCAATTTTGCCTCCTTCATTACTCTCCTCCCATACTAATTCTGGTACTGATATTTTTCTAGCCCTTGCTAAGCTGATTCAGAGTTCCATCTTAGAAGTGTATATTACTCCTGCCAGACTAGTTTTCTGCTCTGTTTAGTGTCCTGAACTGGCTTATTAACAGGTCAGCTGAAAGACAGTGGCAGCAAAAGCACGGCAGGTAGGTCCATACTTGTGCTTGCTTAGAACAGGTTACATATGATCATTTTGGATCAGAAATAGTGTACCCAGCAGGAGTAAGGAAGGGATCGAGCCCCTGTGCTCAGCACTGGGGAGACCGCACCTCAAACACTGTGTGCGGTTTTGGGCCCCTCACTGCAAGAAGGACATTGAGGTGCTGGAGCGTGTCCAGAGAAGGGCAACGAAAGTGGTGAGGGGCCTGGAGAGCAGGTCTGGTGAGGAGCGGCTGAGGGAACTGGGGCTGTTCAGCCTGGAGAAGAGGAGGCTGAGGGGAGACCTGATCGCTCTCTGCAACTACCTGAGAGGAGGCTGTAGTGAGGTGGGGGTCGGTCTCTTCTCCAAGGAACAAGGGACAGGACAAGATGAAATGGTCTCAAGTTGTGCCAGGGGAGGTTTAGATTGGACATTAGGAAAAATTTCATCACAGAAAGGGTTGTCAGGCATTGGAACAGGCTGCCCAGGGAAGTGGAGTCACCATCCCTGGAAGTATTTAAAAAATGAGTAGATCTGGTGCTTAGGGACATGGTTTAGCAGTGCACTTGGCAGTGTTAGGTTTGCAGTTGGACTTGATGATCTTAAAGGTCTTTTCCAACTTAAATGATTCTGTTCTATGAAACTACAGTCTTAACGTGCACAGAAAAGCATACTTCACAGCACAAGGGAACAACTAATCAAAACTGGGACAGGACTTCTTCAGTATAAGACTGATTAGTTCTCAAACTAGTAGTGCTAGGGATTGAAGAAAATTGTTACATGGTGCAAAATACAGAGAAAAGTTTCTAAAATGTTTCTGAAAGCAGTATCACAATACTATTTCCCCTAAGGACTGCAATACTGAATGTCACTATCTACACTTTTTTTTTAATCCTGTCTCAGAGAACATTATTGAAATTTCTCTACTGTCTAGACACACAGCTGCATATTTCACTGCAGGTTTTATTCTTTGGCTTTTCCACCAACAGGAACAACTTTAAGGAGTGACTTTGCTCAAGCTCTATATCGCAGACCCAGTATTTCACTGAGTTGTGTCACATACACACAGAAGTCAAGACTTGTGGAAAAAGCCTTACCACCTAGATATCTAAAAATCCAGTAATTTTTACTTATTTAATTTTAAAACCCCTATTATTCTTAGAGTCATAAACAAAGACTCATTCTCATCAAGAGATTAGTATTGTATTCAACTATGACTCTAAGCTAATTCCTATTAGTAGATGAATTATCCTCTCAAACAGATGAGGAATATAAACAAGAAGACATCTTTCCTTAGAATGCCTAAAAAGAAAGAAAAAAATTCAATACGGACATGTTCTATTAGATTATTCCAGGACAAAAATCAGATGAAACAGAACCTGTATTATTCATTCAAGAACTTTCAAATAAATATAGTAGTTAGCAAAGCTTTGTTGCAAAATTTGTTCCCACTGACTGCAAGAAAATTACAGTAGGGGAGTAAAAAAGATAATAAATGAAAATATTACTCTCTATATTTTCTTTTAAAAATAATGGCAGCAAGACACAGCTCAATCATTAAAAACTTACCTGGGGAAAAAAGCAGTCATAGCTATTCTGATTTCTCTGTACAAAACTGCCAAGTTAACTATTAACATATGCAAGATTCATTTTAATACATGATCCACAAAGTTATTTATGACATTATGTCATAAAATGCAACTGTCTTCCCTTTCCAATCTCACATTCAGTAAAACTGCAAAATATTTTGTATTCCCTTATGATCCACTCACTTGCAACTATCACTACGACACCAAATAAAAGGTACCTCCCCCAGCCAAGTTTGATAAGATTTCAGTATGTCTCTACCTCAGAATCTTTGAGTCTCACATAATTAGAGGGGAAAACTCCTGATTTATCACCCAGTGTTCCTGTCCACCAGTCGCCATCTTTCTTTGTCACAAGAATCATATCACCTTGTTGAAAAGTTAGGTCTCCTTGTTCAGAACTCTCGTAAGTATACATAGCAATATACTCTGTAAGAGGGAAATAAATACAGAACATGGAGAACACTTGATAAACCGGCTCAATTATCATTTGCAAAACCTATCTAATATAATACAGTATATCCATGGGCTAGATAGAAGACAAATTTTTTAATTACTCAATATTTAATGCATAAAATTTTGTCTATCAGAACTAAATACAATGTATCAAAAGGCTGCTTCTGGGGATTTTTTTTTTTTTTTAAAGTAATTTGCTAGTATAATTAAAATCTACATAAATTATTAATTTATATCAGAAACTACTCTGAAAACGTGTTGCCCCACGGTTTCTGTTTTGTGCTGATAACTAGAATTTCCAGCCTTGGGGATGAACAGTCTCAGTATTCAAATAACTGTAGATACAGTCTTCATTTTACATATGCTGTTCGGCTCTTGTATACAATGAATTCTTTCATTATTTGAAGAGCTTTGCATGAAAGGCGCAGATCTCATCGCATCTTACACAACAGATGGCTGAGAAATGTTAAGACAAAGCCCGAATGTGTTCTGTTTTGCTAAAACAGAGTCAACTACTAGTATTCAAGTGCAAAAATACTAAAGTAGACTGATGTTGAGAAATTAAATGCATAATTCAATCACAGAACTACATGAAAAAATTTTACATAAAGGATTAGAAAGAATTTCAGACAATTCAGTAACTTTTTCTAAACAACTCGATACATTCTTATTTAACTGAGTAGTATCACACTTTATATGGGTACAAAACAGATTTCTGAAGATTATAACTGCTGATCCTAGACCAGCTCTGGACCGAAGAGCAGTTCACAATATTTCAGGATGACTTTCATGCATGTGTAACAAAAATGTTCAAGTATTCTACTGCAGCTGGCAATTGCGGCTTGAACATTAAATCTGACCAAAAAGCTTAGCTCGGGGAAGTTCAGCAAGAATTCAAACCACAATTACTATCTTTAATGAAAGCTACAACATGGTTTGTTTAACAACTGCAGCTGAAGAACACGCACATCTGTTTGTATGCATGTACACACAAACACACATTAAAAATCATAATGTATGTGATACATATGGAATTTTTCCTTAAATTCTTTAAAAATGTAACAGAAGATGCTAAATCCATGCGTTATTATTTCTTTAAAAAACAGCTTTTTGGGAAATGTTCTACTAAAAAGTTGTGTCCCTTTTTAATACAAACGTACAACCTGAGATATGCCATACTTTACAAAAAAGCCATAGCATTTCTACAATTGCTTTTCCTCAAATATATAGTGAGCAAGACTAGTTGCATTTTGAAATAACTTCTTATCTCACTTTCCTTGTTACACAGATCTTTACTATTCCTGCCTTTTAATTTCTGTAGTGCTCATACTAGTGGCAAATTAAATACATCAGTAGGCGAATTAAATATATCACTAACCAAAGAGACTCTTTCACTTAAAATTTTATGTAGAACTGTAGTCAAAAAACTGAAGGTGTGCTGTAGAGATTGTATACAAATGCTCATTAGTAACCTATATTTAGATCCATCGATTTACTCTGACTGTGATTTAAATTAACCCAGCTGACTCTGCACTGAAGTGGATTAAGAGTGCCCACACAGTCTGTTAACAGACTTTGTGTGGAGACATTAACCTCCAGCTGAAGGGTGGTAGCAGCCAGGAATGCAAGTCTTTTAAACCTCTTCAGAGGCCTGACAATTATCTGTCTGTGCCCCAGGCTCCATCTTTAAAAATGAGGGGTAGCCTTGGCCATAAGGATCACAACGTTCTATAATTGTAATTCCTTTAATTAAGAGCTTTACTGAAACATTGGAAATGAGCTTTGGGTGAAATTGAGACATTAATAATTCCTGACATCATGAAGTACATGTACAGATGTGCTTATCTGGCCCTCCACAAAAACCCATTCCAGATCAGAAATTGTTACCAAAATATTTATAAAAGAAATAGTACGAACTACAGAAGATATTTTAGTGGCATGGGAAATTATTTCTTCTATATACACAACACACATAAATTCTTACTACAACAATTTTAAATCACTCTAGAGGCAAACTGATTTGCACTTCAATTTTAACAGGCCTGATTTTAAAACACTAAGATCTGATTCTAAGCTTGTTTCTGGTAATAAGCAGACTTATTTTATTTAATTACATATTAAAATACTATTAATGCCATTCAGTTTGAAATGCTTACCTTCACCTGACATAGTTGCTTTTGTTGCTGGTGACGCTACTCTTTTCAGACTAGCAGGACTTTCTGAGGAACCAGAATCCATGCTTTAGAAGAAAATAACGGTTATTTAAGAAATAAAATATCTTCAGAAAAATTATTGTTATTATCATATTTAAAAGCTAAAAAAAAAAAATAAAAAAATGCATCTGCATCCATAAGCAATTCCCGACATTTTAAAAGAAGAGACAGTAAGTGTGTAAATTAGAGCTTTTAAGTACAATGGCAAGTCATGGTTACATTTAGGTAACTGCCTTAAATATAAAAGTTTCTGCACCTCCTCTTCTCCCTCAGAAAAAAATAAAGTATCTAAAATCATTCTCATTTGTATTATTATGTTAATGTTGCCTTCACGTTACACAGAATCAGACTCCGATTGTTTCAACGTCCAATAAGTGATTAAGTTTGGAGGTATACCTTTTTATTTGGGGGAAAGAGAAGCTATGACTTGCATAGCTGTAATTCATAAAATCCAATACACTGATTTTTTTAGTTGCAAGTCACATAAAATTAAGACTGTCCATTAAGCTTTAGCTCTTTTGTTGGTGATGCATGATCCAAGGAGAACTGAGGTCAGTTTTCTCATTTCTCACAGAGCTGGAAGTCAAAACCCCCCAGAAGACAGTCATATAAAAAAAAATTTACAGTGTGGATTCTAAACTTTAAAATTCAAGCGCACAATGCTTCATATTTATTTAACTATTACAGTGTAGAAGTAAACCACAGTAAAAGCAAATAAAATACCTCGTTGACTTCCTAATGGGGCCTGAAATAAGCTTCACATATGATTTAGGAAACCACCCCTTTTGTCCTTGAACCTCTCCAAACCACCACATATCTTGCTGCTCCAAAACTGTGATGATATCATTTTTGTTGAAATTAAGATGGTTGTCTTTTTTTGCTCTCCAAGGATACAAAGCCTGTGCTTGAAGCCCCTCCACTTTTTCACCCTAATGCAATTTAAAAAAAAAAAAAAAAAAAAGAGAGAGAAATCAGCCGTGCACCACCTTTCATAAAGAAAGCTGCTTAAGGAATTATATTCTTATGCTATTTATATAGCAACAAAATACAGAGACTCTCCCTCAACTGTATAAAGCAAAGTAAGTTAATTAAACTCACAAATAGCAGAAACGTTTACAGTCCTCCTACATTTTTGTCTGTTAACATAAAATCAATATAATGCAAGATTATTAGAGGTTTTGAAATACAGTTTTACAACTAAGATGTCATGTAATAAACCTTCATAAAGCTATTGTCGCAGGACTTAAATTAAACTTTATGGAAAAACGATGCTTTGCTGCAAGTTTTCATTGTACATTCCAACGGGGTTTTTTGCTCTAAGATATTAAGATATTTTGCATTTTTCAGAACACATTAGCTTACAAGAACAGTATGTTGTTCAGTTGAGGAAAAGGAAATGCCTTAACAGATGGATGGAGTTCATCTGATGTGAAGCTTTGCCATTGCTATTCCACTTAACTACATAATCCACTTTGGAGTGAAGGTTATTGTCACGTGATTCAGGAAAGCCCCAAGGAAGTGACCTGAAACTGGCATCCTGCCAAAACATTAAGACTGGACCACCAAAGCCTAAAAAAGCCAGCACGGAATAGCAGACCAGAAACCGCTTCATGTTAAATTCTGCCCTGGATTTTGCAAATGGATGTACACCACCTGTTCTGAAACGGAAATAGCTTACCTACCTCAGAGGACCGTTTTAATGCATGGTCAGTGTTCATACTTTGCTTTCCAAATGTTTCTGCTGGGTCAGAACAGTTTTAATGAACATAGGTGCTCACCTGACCCAAGACAGGAGAGGGAGACGATCCTGTAACAGTGGCAGGAGTGAAGGCTGATCGCTGCCGCAGCTGCCCTGCACTGGGAACAGTCAAAGATGGCTGAGCTGCCCAGGCATCCCAGTTATCAGTCTCTGGTTTCTCACTAGCGTTTGTCGGCCATCTGAAAAAAAGACAATGATGTAATTCCTACTGTTTTCAACTGAATAAAAAGATTGTGCAGAAAAAAAAATTTCTACATTCTACGTTAATTTCTTTTAATTGAATATTCCATGAGCATCATAACTCTCAGGTGGATGTAGTGCAATCAAACATAGGCACAATAAATTTATCTTAAAAAGGCAATCTCTAAATACAGTTGCTTGCCCTTGGTGCTTAAGGCCAGCTGTTTCTGCAATTAAGTTTCATTTCTTAGCTGTGCCCCAATACAACAGAAGTTCAAGTAGTGCACTCTATATTATACATAGTGGAAAGAAGAAACTTAGAAGAAAAAAAAATCATCATTCTCTTCAAAATTGGTTTGAAATCTCCACACCAGCATGTCACTTGTGACCTCTCACACTCCTTTCCCTTACACATCATTTTATTGCTTCTCATTCAAACCCTTACCTTTTTTCTTTTGCTTAAAATTATTTCCTACTGACTTCTTTCAACTCTTTAGAGTTTTATGCCACCTCTTACCTTTTTTATGTTATCTCTTGTCCTTTAAAATGCCTACTAAATCTCATAATCCACATCTCTGCCTCCCAATATCCACTTAAATGAACAAAATCCCCTAAACTCTATGAGAGTAACAAAACACCTATCTTAAACCTGAGCTTCCTTTGCCTGTTGCTTGTGCTATTAGTTGGAGTAATCAGTGGTCATCCACCTAGATTGTAATAGCATCCTAAGGCCACAACCAACCCGAACCCCTATATCATGTCAAGGACAGTATTATTAGTATAAATGCTCTGGGACTCACTTTGCAGGAAACTGAATATTAATTTTTATGAAAAGCATGCAAGCATGCGTTATCCACCTGGGGTAGAAACAGCTTTGTCAAAAGTATGATTTATTCAAAACAATAAAATCCAGTATCTGCCAGACATCTCCAGGAAGCTGAAGATTTAGTCTTACCCTCCCCCCTCAGAAAAATGACTTTGTAGTAAAATGGAAAAAGTTTAAATAACTGGAAAAGCTACTGTGACCTATTTGATGAAAAGAATGTACTATGTACTGTCATATTGCACTAAGATATTTAATTTTAATTTATAAATATGTATTACATGATCAAAAGATAAGGCAATTACTTACCCAACCCCATTTACATAGGGTTGATAATACTGCACAGAGTATTAAGTTGAGTTAACAAGACACCTAGGAAAGGGCACACTGTTCTACTTGCATCAGTCTTATTAATGTTGTGATAAGGAATTAACAAATCCTCTTTTCATGCTAACTCTATCATTATTATATTTTGCATAATCCAAGCTGGAAACCTTCAATGAAGATTGGTGTCAACTAATTTAAGAGAAGGAAAGTGAGCACCTTGGGATTTCCACCATGTCACCATCCTCACTTAAGAATGTCTCCTATTTGTGATGTGTCCTTCTGCATTGCTCAGGCAGATAGGAAGGGAGCATGGTTAAAGTTCCACAAGGCTGTGATTTTAAAACTATTTACTATGGAAAAAATACCTTACTTGAAACAAGCCATTTTTATCTTGCAATCTTGATATTCTGTGTTAACTGCCACCACAGTCAAATCAACCAAAAAGGACTCCAACACATTTAAGGTGATAATCACTACCCAAACGTACGTTGAACTGAAGTCTGCCCAGTTATTGGCAGTTGTAGTAGACTCTGTAGAAGCAGAAGTTCCTAGCGATGTCGTGGTTTCATGCACAGAAACTTTAGGTGCAGCAGCTGCCTCAACTGCTGGCTTTACAGAAGCTGGAACTTCATTTTCAGGTATTTTCTCTGCATAGTTTGCAGGGAACCATCCAGTTTTCCCCTTCAATTCTCCACCAAGCCACCCTGGCTCTCCAGTCTGGCTTTCATCTACCTGTAGACGCAGTAAGTTAGAAAATTAAGAAACGTAACATACAAATGGAATTTTTACTTAAAACAATCCGTCTCATCCACAGTAATTAACCTTCTCTAGTTACAGAGACATGACACCTTCATTACAAATACAAGTTCCACCTAGGTAGCATTTTTGCGGTTGTTATTTACCTTTGGAGAATTAAGTTGACAGCTATTCCTCCTGTGGCATATTAACAAATAAGGGAACATTTTGCAACACAATACTGCTTTTCAATATTTCCCCCCCCCTCCCCCCCCAAGCCAAAACCAAAAGGATTTCTTGGTGATGAGATAAAAAAGTTTTATTTCACTCCTAATGCATAAGCCAAGCATGGGTTTTTAAACAGTCGCTTGAAAGTCTGTCACAGTACAGCAGACTTGGGAGAAGTAAGCTCTAGAGAAATCCCTTAAATATTGGTATTTCTGGTTTAACTAACACAAAATGTCATTTTTAACAAGTTTTCACACATTTTCTCTTGCAGAAAATACAACAAAAACCCACAGCATATTCAAAACAACATCCATCAAACAATTCAAAACAAATCCACAGATTTGCTAATGTATTTATACAAAACAATTCCATGGTAAGTTTTCATGTATAAATTTGCAGGCCTCTGTTCCTTCCCCTCACTCTATCTTTGCCAAGCCAGAAAGAACAGGACAAAACAGGGCTGGTTTTGCAGCTGTATTTTAATTCCTAGTTATTGATTATTATAATCAAGTTAAGCTATGATTTTGCAAATTTCACACTTTCCTGTTAACTTTTCTTAAACATTTCATACATTTGTTCTCCAGGCTCTACTGACAGACTACTGTCTCAGTCTGCTATTTCAACAAAAGTGATCAGTTTAAATTCTTTGAGCTGCAGCTAACCACATCCATCAAGAATTGCAGACGAAAAGTAATTCACTATTGCTACCCCTGGCGAACTGATGTGGTGGCTAAATACCTCTAAGGCAACGTCAGCTGCAGAAACCTTTTAGAAGAAAAAAGGCAGTAATTGTATTCAGTAATAATTTTGGTAAATTTGGTGTTCTAGCTATCTAATCCCTTTGATAGGTCAAAAGAATCTCAGTTTTCAAGCAAAACCTTACAAACGAATAGGGTTTGCACCTTTGACAATGTAAATAACACCTACTTTGTACAATAATACGCTGTGTGTAGCTGCAGATTCCCTAGCACTAGTCAAGTCAGAAGTAAAACCAGGCCAGTGATGAGAAGTCAGACGACCAACTCTACACAGTGGCTGGGTTTTGGCAAGAATTTCTCTCATCTGTTTAAGCCAGTAGCAATCAGTATTTCAAAATACGTAACAAACGACAGTGTAACTCAAGAGTTGACTGTGGCAGTACAGTACAGCAGGCAGAGATGTTTAAATTGGTACTTCTAAATCACCTGACACTATTTCCTAAAAAATCCATTACCAATGTGAGGGATTTGTTGATAACAGAATGCTTCATGAGCTAAGGAATAAGAAATAGTATACTTTTCAGTCAAAGGAGTTTTCAGTATACGACATTATATGAAAATAGCACATAGTAGCGTGTTGAACTAGATGCATCTACATTTGGAAACACATCTACGAATTCACTCTATCAATTTTAACAAAATATAACCCGATCGGCTGCTTGTTTGGAGAAAAAAAAAAAATCAGTGGCAAAAAAAAAAGTTATTTGTGGTAATGGTGCAAACCAGTTGCTCTAGACTAAAGGTGGGACCATTCTTTTGCGTAGAAGTGGCTGAAACCGAAGAAGCAAAGCTGCTGCCTCTGATTGTCCCTGGACTACTCATTAAGGCTGCTGATAGATTGCTTTGCCTTAGGCCAGTTGTTGACTCTTTGACTGCCTCCTATTGTAATTTGTATCCCCCACCCCTCTCTCGGTGCAAAACAATCCATTATTTCTGGCTTTTTGTTGGGTCCATCTTCTTTCTCAGTCCCTTTTAACTCAAAGCAAACCCAGAAATAAATGGACTACATGCTTGACCGATTCAATGTGGTTTTACTGCAGTGCAGAGCACAATTTCCACTGCAGCACTGAATAGGATTGTTAAAGTAGCAGTATGAGTGATGGAAGGTCACAGCAGAGGGTGAATCTTGGGATAGAGAGGGAGAAATGGGTTATCAGCACCTGATGCCAAGTTGAATAATATAAATAGTAATAACAGTCACATAGTTTCTACTCATTCAACTGCTCAAGGTAGTAACCAGAATCATTAACATACAAAAGGATATGGACTGAAAAGCCGAAAATCTGTTATGGTGATGTTCTAAAAAGGGCATCTTTGAAATGAGTCACAGCCATACAGAAACCACTGTCATTTTTCAGAAATAACTTTTTTGTACAAGCAGAGGAAAAAAAAAAAAACTACTAAAGGGTTTTAAAAATCAACTGATTTAATGTCTTTCTAGAAGACAGATTTAAGTTAAAATAATTCACAAAACAGCCTATTAGGATAGTCAAATTTGTGCTTATTCAATCCAATTAAGCTTTCTATGTATACCCACGAAAAGACACTCTGAAGAATAATTTTAACCTTACAAGTCAAAAAATCTATATATTCATATAAAATATAATTAGCATCTTTTTTTGATAGTACACTACTGGAAGTTTAAATAAACTCCTTTGAACCTTTTTAAAATTCATTCGTTCTAATTTCCTTATCTTTTTTCACCCACCATCCCCAAGTCCCTACGACAATCTAGCCCAGATTATTTTTTTCCAAAATACAACTAGATACTTTAAATGTACACCTGAATAGTGAATCATAGTGTATGTGGTTTGATTTTTTATTTATTTATGCAACCATACTTTAGCCACGGCCTACAGCTACTTAGTTCCAGCAACTGAACACAAGTGCCAGGAGTAACAGCAACACAACTCTTAGCAGCAAAAGCAGTAGGTCCAGTTAGCATCTCTGTCAACAGAAAGTCTGGCTTTAGAGTGGCCTCCTCCACTTTGACGTGGCTTGTGTATCACCAGCAGTGCATGCACACAAAAAGAGGAGCCCTGTTTTACAGTAGATATTCACGCTACACTTGAAGCCAAACCTCAATACTCTTACAAGAAGTATTTAATCAAAGCTAAACAGACCACTGTTGTCCGTTTCGTTCAACTAGCTATCCATTAAATGACCATTTTAATTCTATTCCACTTGCAGGCTTTTGATCTAGGTATTTTGAGACTACTGGAGTTCCTGTTGAATACAAGCTCCGCAGGCCAGAGGCCATATGCTGATTACGCCTACACAGGATCTAACACAACAAGGCTGTCTATGTGTCTAATACAAAGAGCATTCATTCTAACTCTCACAATCAATAACTAACAAAACCGACGAGAAACTATCATTATGAATTTGTTTTAGACTTTCCATGGAAGTTTCTTTATGAACTTCCTGTTTAGCTTATGTTCTCCTGCTATCAGAGCCACTACAGTTCAGTAATTCAGTAATTCACCTGTATTTCATTGAACTATGCTTAAGTTTATTTAAGCAAGCTGTATTATATAAAACATTATCAGCAACAACTGAATCCATTAATTTACTTCAAGCTGGAGCCTAACAGCAGCAAATGCCAGCAGGACTTGCTTTGTCAGAGAGCTCGCCAAAGGAAAAGAATTCCATAGATTGTATACATATATTCATACACGTAATAGAAACTTAACTTCCTGGACAGAGCGAGCCCTGAAAGAGGCATGCCTTTTTTGGCTCAGAATATTTGTTCCCAGACAAAAGCTTGGTTAAATTATAGTTAGGATTATAAACCAATCTAGTTTACAGTGAAAGAAACTTAAAGTATACAGAAAGGTAAGAAGCAGAGGAAGCAAAAATCCAAGTTAAGAGAAAATATAAAAATCCTGTAATTAAGAAGTGGAAAAATTAAAACAACACAGCCCACGCCCCACGCATTCTCTAAACCATTACACAAGATACATCAGTGCTACAGATAACTAACATGTATACTGGAAAGTCAGGCAGAAGAAAGCCCTCCTCAAATTTGCAAATACTTTTCCTTCCAGAATAAACCCTCATCCTTCTCCCTCATTTCCACCAAGACAGGTCTGAAGATTCATGCACAGTGTAAAAGTGCATTACACTTCCATAAAAAAACATTTACAAGCTATACATCTATTAAAGTCAGAAGTCATTCTGACATAACGAATTCTGCAGTCCTATTTCGAACCAGGATTTAGGCCTGTGTGCAGTCAGTGGATTCGGGCTTCAGCTGGATTCTTTGCTCATGGCAGTTACAGGTTGGGTGGTATCTTCTGTACAGCTATATGATTACAGGACATGATTGCCCAAGCTTGCACACACAAAGCCATTTGTAAGTGTTAAAACGGTGAAGTGCTAAATTTGCCTATGTTCGAACACAATGATTCTAAGCAATACTTGTTTTGTCGCACACAGTAAACTCCTACCTGTATTGATCAGCTTAACTACAGAGTTGCATTTATGTCATAAATTAGACACACTTTAACATGTAAGCTTGTAAATTATTATTTTCCAAAAAAACGTAACCAACTCGAACCTTTTTAGAACCACAGGACACGACAAACACTTAAGGACAGAGAAGAGTCTAGAAGTCCAAAAGCTCATTATCAAAAGTAAGTTCTGGTCCATTGCACTTAAATTACTTTTGACAATGTGAGCTAGCTTGTTAATTTTACCCTAGGTGAATTCAAAAACAAGAAAACCACATGGTAACAAAATCTGTATTTATGAAAATGAATAAATCGCATAGACTTCCTAACAGTCATATAGCACACTTACCCATTCCCTTTTAACCTCCATCAGGAAAGCAATGATTTAAAGCAAGGCAGAATTACAACACATTTCACAAAAGTGTCTTACTTTTATTAAGTTTTCTACGAGTAGCCCATTTAAGCAATTACTACAGAGCAGGAGATAAATCCCACAAGAATCAGTCATCAGGTTTAATTACTGTCAAAAGTTATATAAAGAAAATTGAGAGTAGTTACCCTACTTTTGTAGAGTGAGTTAAAATAAAGTCCAAAAGTAACATATAGAAAGACTCAGATTACCTCAAAGTCTCTATTTAAAACACATGAAGTGCTCCTTAAAACCACACATTTTTGGCAAAAATGTTATTTTCCTGCACACCTGTCTAATAGTGATCACTCTTCCTCAAGGAGAAAAAACAGTTTATTTATATGCCAATCTATTTCCTGAGAAAGCAAGACAACACGGTATTTTTCAATATATACCTGTATCCTCTCTCATTTAACAGATGACTGACCAATATACTATTTCTTGATGTGGAACAACAGCACATTGCATTGTTATTCAGAATGGCATTGGGCCTCTTCCCGAGTCATTCAGTAGTGCTACTAACCCAGAATTTGCCTTTTATTTTCCAAAAGTAGATTCTAATGTTACAAACACTTGAGTGTGACAGAGCTGAATTGATTAAAAAAAAAAACAACCAAACCCACAAACCCAAAAGGCTGAGAGATGAAGGCTCATCTCCTCAGAACACATCGGGGTTTTTTTAAAATAGTTATCATTACAATTTATGAGAGTTTACAAAGTGTATTTTTTCCAAAATCCATTATTACTAAACTGTGCCAAAACATAAGAGCTCTTAAAAATCTATTCTGTTGGGTAGAACACTATAACGAATAAACTTTCCTACCATGATCAAGGTATCATTTAATAGTTACACTAGGAATTTTCATCATGAACAGACATATGCATGCTAAGATCATACTAGTAATTTATTAATATTAGTATACACATTTAATAACTGCAGTCATCAACAACAGAACTATAATTTTAGAGATAGAGACAAAAGCAGAGTATTGCTTTAGAGTTTAACACAACAGTTATAGCCTGACCATGTCCCTGTATCTCATCATCTACTTAAAAAAAGAAAAGAAATTACTCTGTATCAACACACCTGCCAAATTTTTAGGTTATGAAGTTTTCATTTCCAGAAATGATATTTTATCTACTGAATATCCTCTTTAAAATAAATGTAAAAGTATCTCACAAAAGAGTTAAGTAGATTAAAATAGGAAATTTATCATACAAACAATTCCAAGTTATAATTCTATACTAGATCATTATGTCAAAAACTGTCACCAAAGAGTTGTACAAAAATTTTCCAGTGTTACTAAAGTATCACCACCAGACAAAGACTATGTTAATGTTTACACGATCATTACAGAAGCGTAGTCATCTTGTAGTTTAGTTTAATTTTAGTCTCATAGAGTATTACACTGGACACCACATTCTCTTAACAAAGGTCACTTTCCAAATTAAAAAATTTATGCTGCTCCTGTACTATTCATATAAAAAGGTAAATTTCTTAATAGAAAGATTCTTTATTTATCAAAGCCAGTTTTTGATTCCACACGTAACAGCCACTCTCCCAATAGAAAATACCAGTAACTTTATTCGCTAGGTACCTTGGAGAACAAGAAACCTCTCACTGAGATAACTTCTGTATAGGAACCTATTTAAACACAGTGACAGACACACACAGCTCAGCACACTAAAACTGATACGATCTACTCACAGGTAATGTTTAAACCTTACACTTACAACGAACTCTGAGAAGCTATCCATTATTATAATAGGGTTACTATGTCATATCACATCATTTCAGTATTCACCGAAATATTTTTCTCAAGTCTGTAAAAAATCTTGCCATATATAATTTCAATCACACAAGTGCAAAAGCTCAAGTTATTTTTTCAAGAAATATCACAATCCCTTCTTACCATGACTATGTCGCCAGGCTGAATAGTGATTTCATCGTGGCTTCTTGATTCAAAAGGATACAGTGCTCTATAATACACTATTTTTACATCCTCCTGAGCAGAAATGGTTAGAGGAGCTTTCTCTGAGCAAAGGGAAAAAAAAAATTCAAAACAAATAATTTTTAAATATTTGAAAAAATGAGGTACAAGTGGAGAAAAAAATTAACAAACCTTACATTGTCTGTAAGAAGTATATTATTCCCCTTTTACGCAAGGGGAAATATGAAAATTAATTATTTAAAATATAATTTTCTTACTATTTTCGCTTCTAAACATCAGGTAAAATATTACTGTATTTTAACTTTTATGATATATACCACTATTTTCATAGAAAGAATCATATACTCATGATGCAACATATATAACATCTCAAACGCTTCAATGACTTTGTAAGTTAAATCTGATGAGCCATAAGTTCAATTCAAACAGGGATGGTCTTGCATGTATCAATGGTATCCCAGACACCTTTAGAACCTGCTTGTGCAGCAGCTTCATTTGCAGCCTGACTATACTTCCAAGAAAGATGTTTCAAAATGTCCTAATACATACTGATTGGCTGAAAAGAGGTCACTTTACAGATGTCACTTTTTAACATGCTAAAGATTCATTATTAGAAAAAGAAGAATACAGAAAAACCCCAAAGATATAAGCTAAACTGCTCTTGTATAACACACTTCCTATTTTGCCTATTTGGTCATAAAAGTGCCCTCTGCTACTTTGCACAAATAAAACCTAGCAACAGGACATATTAGATTAAGTCAATTCTAGATTTGGGGTAAAAAATAGAAGGTAATTTCCCCTTTAGGCAATCTTTTGATCAATTATTTAAACAAATATTACATTCCCAATCAGTTCTCTTGCGTATGTATCAAAGCCACTTAAGGGGGAACCATGACTCCCAAATACGGGCAAAAATCAGGTTACAATGCAGAGAAAAAGCTCTCAGCTGGAAGTGATTGTGTGTGTAGCAGAAAAAAAAAGGGGGATTAAATCTTAGACTTCAGATCATTTGTTGCATAAACAACAAGCATGGGGAAGGTGAAAGAGAAAAAAAGGATGACTATATGACATACCGGTATTACTCTAAAAAATTCCAAAGCACATATTCCTCACCAAAACAAGAATTGTAAAGAAAAAGTACAGAAATAATTTTTGACATCTTGCATCAAGACCTTACAACAACTTAAAGCTAAGATTATCTCTTCAGTAGGCACGGTGAGTCTCATCTACTGTGCTTTACACTCTGCTAAACACCATACTTTTAGGAAGAATAGCGAAGCCTAAAACAACAACTTTCTGGAGCTTAGAGCTCAACCTACATATGATTTACTCTAATAAGACTAGCAATCTCAAAACACAATATTCTTCTGTATCAAATGGGAAGACGAAACAGAAAAGAATTTTTCAAGAGGCATGTGCAACGTTTCCTCATTTTTCACCCTACCTGCATTTGACCAAGGAGCCTGGACAGCTGGCTTGATTGACTCTTGATGTGGTTGGAAAAGCTTACTCAGTTTCTCTTGCATTTCCTGTTTCCCCTTATCCTCACTTTCCTTCTTCTTGGTTATTTCTTCCCTTTTTTGCTTTTCATCTTCCTGAACTTTTTTTTGCCACTGAAGTTCTTCTTCTGGTTGCACTCGATCAAGCCGCTGTTTATCCCGTTCCTGGATCCGCCTGTTGGATCATTAAGGTGCTTTTTTAAGACAGTTAAACAAAAGACTACATAAGTTAGTTGTCCTTGTGTGTGATCTATAGCATAAAGTGGACTCTTTATGGATTTTGCACACCCTATAAGAGCTGTTAATTTTATTTTGTTGAGTTATCAACTACTCTACAGCATCTTCTTACACAATGACTTTGAGAGGGCAAAGAAGAAATATTCAGAAAGGTTTGCTATGGCTGTGTATGTATTCATAAAGAAAGAGCTGAGACTCTCAGACAAGTGACAGGACACTATTTCATGTAACCTACTACTAGGTGCAGGCCTCCATTTCATTGAGTTGCTTTGTCTTTGCATTTAAAAAACCCACCTTTAATATAACATTCTATGTTATCACATATCAATTCTGTGCCCTTACGACTCCACAGAACTCTAAAAGAGGTATAGAGCAACCTGAGCGTACAGAAATGATAAACTAGTTATGTTTACAGTTTTTATTTCTGTTTCTAATAGAGCATTAAGTCTTCCCATACTTACAAACCAAGTTTGCTCTAACTAGTAACTGCTGGAGCAAGAAGAGCAGACAAAAACATATCTTGAGGAGTGTTAGGAATGTGAGATTTATTTTTTCCTTCCATAGAAGCTGTAGAATGTTCTTCTCTGATTGTTATGGAAGGTAATATCATGAGTTGAGGACAAGGAAGAGAATAAGAAGAGACAGAGAAGCTAAAGAAACACAAACCTAGGTGTGAGCACCACAGCTTGGGGTTAGGAACAGAAAACCTGACATTCTGCTCTTTTCCTTACGTCAAGACTCCGGATGTATTAATTATTGTGGAATATAACCTCTAATCTGGGATTTACCTATACTTGCTTTTACTCTTTTAATTTCCTTTTTTCTCTCACCAACTGCATTATACCACTCAGGCAGTTCTTATCCCAAGCACCAAGAGTAAACTCTATTCATGCTACTCAAGTGTTGGGTTTTTTTTTTTCCCTCTCAACTGTATATTACTGACATAATCATGCAAGGCTGCATGGAACTAGCCTTAAGATAATTAAGAGTAATTAGCCATGAGAAGTCTTCAACAAGACCTCTACCATCCCCAAATATGTACGTCTGTATCTTTGTTTGCTCAATTAAGTTATGTGCACAATTCAGTGCATAATTACCAACAAAAAAATCATTAAGATGGTTCTCAGTATAAAGTGATTATGGTTATCCGTTAAGACAAAGGTTAAAGCGCACATAATTATGATCTTAAGATTATTCTTTCTTTCTTTGCTTTCACTAGAGCTATTAATAGGCAACATACTTTCATAATCATTATTGGGCAGTATCCAGGTTATGAGTATTAATTATTCACCTTATTAATTTTGCTGTCTGTTGGAAATCATTAAGACTGTCAGAATGCTCACTATCAGGTATACCAATTACGGTGATTTAGAAGCTTCAATATGTGGGCAGCATGAAATTTTGCATTACCAATAATGTCTGAACGTTCAACTAGCATGAAAGGTCATACATGAAGTTTTCCATGGTAGCAGTTTTTCCTATTTCAAATCTGTTTTTAAAATTTCCGTTTTTCTGGAAGGAAAATTATTATTTAATTTTCTGAAATTAAAATATTATTTAATATTCTGAAACAGAATATTTTTAGTGTTCCTATACTTCCACAGTACCTCAGCAGCCTTCTTGTTTTCAAGGAAAGTTCCAACATAATTACCATATTTAGCATAGTTATTTCTTCATGATAGAAAGCTGTTTTCTTAGAAAGTCGATCTTTAAGATTTTTAAAGGCATAAGTTTTACATAAATTATTTACGCATTATCTAAAAGTAATTGCTTTCTACGTATGAGATTTCTGTTTGAAGACATGATTTTCACTGAGAATTTGTTTTGGTTTTGCCTGAAATGTAAAAATTAACTTGACTCAGCAAGCAGTAACACAGTCTGTCAATTCACTTTAGGTCACAGTCCACATAATGCTATAACCAATAATTTAAGGCCTCTTGTTCCCAGGCCTTTGTTTTTGCTTGCATCTCTTGAATAACATCTGTCTACTTTGAGTGCAAAAACACCACAACTGCTAAAAACTAAATCAAACAGCTACTGACAAACGTCAGAATAGAACTGATTGCTAGCCTATATGCAATTCATTTTACATAAATATATTCTAAATATATGCAGGAAACAAATTTCCAAGTGTGTAGCTGAAAAACATTAGCTCTGTATTTTACGTAGTTATAAAAGATAGAGCTAGTTAGTTACACTGTTCAAGAATCTCTGCCAAAGTACGCTACACATTTAAGTAACGCTGCTGAAATCTGTATGTATCACTGACAGTAGAGTCAGACAGATGTAGAAGCTCGTCTCCACAGCACACTTCCCATTCAATGATAAATCAAGAGATTTCCCAAGTTTTAAAAGGGATCATTTGCACTGAAATGAAACCTGGTCTAGGCCTTGGGTATTCTTGACATTTAGTGATACATTATTTGGGACCAGCTTATGCTCCTGGGAATGCAAAGTTTATTTTACTTGTTTGCAAAATGTTTTGCACTTTAACACCTCTATGGAAAGGGCTTAAGGTAGTGCAGTTTGTTACCTTTGAGCTTCTTTTTGTTTTTCTAGTTCTACTGTCTTCCTTTCTTGTTCCTTCTGTTTCAGCCTCTCAGCTTCCAAGTTCTTTTGCTTCTGTAGTTGCTGTTTGTTATGTATTTCTCTCAGGTCCTAGAGAAAGAAGTAAAATATGTTTAAAATGTTTAAACACATACTATGTGAACCGTAAATAACGGCCCCATATATCTCATTGTGAAGTTACAAAACTTGCAAATGGTTGGGTATCTCTGTTCAAACTCACAGTATTGCCAAATGCATTGGCAGACAATTAAGGTAGATTTCAAAGGTCTATAAACCACTTACTGTTTTCCTATTTTTATCCACATAACCTGAGATATTAAAGGGTTAAGAAACAAGAAAGCCTTTTTTAAATGGGACTCTAAAAAGTTGGCAAAAGTTTGACAAAGCTTAACCTGAAAAGTCACTTATGTTTTATTAGGAGTTGTTTGCTGGTTTGTGAATTCATTTATTAAATTCCATATAAAACTCTGCCTTTTGAGCTGCTCATAAAAGTAACTGTTTCAGTTAATTGGTTTTATTTTGAAATTAATGGTGATTTACTAAAAAAATCTCCTGTATTGTTTTATACTCAGGAGATTGAATTCCTTAAGCAATGTCTTTGGAACAAATGGTGGCAGAGAGAGTACTCATCCATGTACAAGTCAGTTTTTCTCTAATTAACTGGAAAGACATTGCCTGAAACATTTAGAATACAAATAATAACAAAACCATAATCTTTTCCTCAAGATTTATTTTCTGCATCAACATCTATTAACATAAATACAAGTTTTATCCAAAATCTCTTTGCATAACCTAGAATTTTGTGGCTGAACTCCTCAGTATTACAGGGAAAAAAAAGAATTTTACCTATGATAACTGAAGTTTTTCATTGAAAAGACTTCACTTCAAAAAATTCATATGTTTTAATGAAAATACAGCGCAGACAAAATATGCAGAAAAAGTTTGTAGCAGGAAATTGTTTCTAAATCTGTATTTTAATAATGTCTACTTTATTGAAATATGTTATGATTTATATCATGCAGGTTTGTTTAGTTCTTGTAGCCTTACAAGCTTTACCTTAATTTATTCAGCGATTGGAACAGTTAAATCTTGAAAGTATTTGGACAGTTTTTCAGAAATTCAGTCTACAAATTAGCCAGATTAAGAGTTCATGCAACTATTCTCATGCACTGAATGAAATGTAGAAAATCACATAAGAGCAGGAAAAAAAAAAAGATAACTAAATATCAAGTGATTCAAAGGGCCAAAATGAAAAGTTTCGGTAAGTTAATTTCACAACATTATTAGTAACTTCTTAGATATACCTTCATAAAAGTTGAAAGTTAATACTTGTTTACAGACTGTACTTGCACTGCGTCTAAAAATTTTAGTTAGTGAAAGTAATACATGCATTAGGGCTGAACGACTGCACACTGTGCAACATCAAATTTTAAGATGTCAAAATAACTACATTACAAAGAGGAGTAGCACATGACCTCTGCCAGATATTAAAACCACTTCTGATATATGGTTGAGCTATATGTTCTAGCTCTCAGTCTCAATTCATTAATGATGCTCAATTTTAAATTCAAAGAAAACTGAATTCAACATCATTAAAAAGATAATCAGTTCTTACGCAAGTTTTAGTTAAAACTCTGCTAAGGCCATGAAACTCACTGAAATACAGAGACAATTTGGGCAATATCATATTTTATAACCACCATTATTTTCCGTAGTCACACAAAAGCTTACTAGATAGTTAGGATCTAGAATGGATATTACAGAATGTAAAATAAACTACTCTTGCAAAATCACCAGAATCATTCAGGCAGGATAGTGCCTTTGGGAAAATTTTTAAACCCTGAATGCCTACAGTTATAAATATTCATGCATAGCCTTATTTTGAACTACAGAAAAGGGCTAATAAAAAGAAAATACATTAGCAATATTGAACATAATGGCTTTAGTAGTTAGCCCATGAAGAACAATGAGAAAATAAAGGGATTGGGAGATTGCAGTGAACACACAGTTGGTCAACTGCACGTGGAGCTAGAGGTGGCCTCTGAGTGAACGATAAATTTCTGAAGTGCTAACTAGGGTGAATAGTCATTTCCAATAACTGCATGTTACTCATTCACCTTCTTTAACGAATATTACACTTGTAATATATTGAGGTAGAAAGGATTTGACCTTTGTTTCAAATTAACTTCTCTCTAGGGGATGACAGACCCATCTTCTCTACATGATCACCTGAACCCTTATTTGTATCAAAGAACATGTACAAGTGCAAAGGACAAATATACAACCATAAGGACATTAGCAGTGGAGTGATTTCCAAGCATTCATCTGAGAGGACATAGATTAGAAAGTGGCAGAGTTGAAAGCAGTTTTCCACCTGGCCAACAGTATTACGAATTTTTGTAGATTGCAGAAATCCATAAAACGAAGTATCTACAAATCTCCTGAAGCTCAAAATACTACTTCTCTGAAGTATCAATTTCTTGACTGATATTCATGATTTTTAACAAGCTGTTTCTCTTTTCTAGGTAAAGAGACTGCTATTCAAAGCAAGGTTTCTGACTCCTACCTTTAGTTCAGCTTTAGCACAGGCTTCTGTTTAGAAATACTTTGTTGTTCTACTTGCTCTAGCTTTCCTTCACATTCACATCCCCTCCTGTCACTTAACTTTGTATGCCAAGAAGCTCAAGATTCTGAGTCTCGGCCGATGAGAACTCCTCTTCCTATTTGTCTTCATTTAGTCAGTTGTTCTATCACCCAATGGCCCCCCTGCAACTCGAGGAGGGGAATTGGGAAAAGGAAGGGAGACCCGTGGGTTGAAATGGAAACAGACTTAATAAATAATAACGGAAAAATAATATTAATATAAAGTACACAAATTTATACTCAGCCCATACAGTGGTCGTGAGCTGCATGCTCCCAGCAGTGGATGCCAGATGTCAAGCACGGTGAGCAACACAGCTTCAACCAAAGCACAACGATCACCACAAACGGCAGAGCAGGCCTCGGGAGCAGAAGGATGTGCCAGACCCTCTAGGGATGGCAACCATTGAGGAAGAGGGCCTGTCCCCAGCAAACTTTCCAATTTACAGTGAGCATGATGTTTAGGGCATGGAATACTTCTGTGGCCAGCTTGGGTCAGCTGCCCTGGCTTTCGCTCCTCCTAGCTTTAGCACCTGGCTAATTTGAAACAGCTACAGACCTTGATCACTACGGAGACCCACGTACCAGACTGGCCAGAATAAAAGAAAGTGTCTTATCAGCTTTGTTCTCACCAGATCAGGTGCTGCAGTCTTCTCAAAAATGCAGCTTTCCTGGATAGAAAATTGATTCCATGATTCTATCCCAGCGAAACCAGGACACCATTGAACAGAGAGATCTGCGACAATCACGCATTTCTGATACGGCAACACTGAAGATAGCCTGTTGCCACTTGAAAAATTTTAACCTATTTAGACAACAGTGCTTTCCAGGTTTGTTTTTTCTTCCCCTCTGTATCTTTATCCCAAACTCTGGTGTTTGGGCACTTAAATAATCACTAGGCAAAGAAAGATGAACTAAAATTCTTTAAGAGTATGAAGGCTGTCATAGTTAAACAAAAAACTGTAATAAATCTCAAAAGCTTTAAGTGAGAGAAGCCAGATGTATCTGAGCTTAGTTTACTTTTTAACAATTTTTTTCTGTAAACTAGAAAGAATGATTTGGTTCATCTATATCCACAGAATCAGGGGGCATCTACATCTAATTCAGAATATTGGTATTTTCTCCCTTTCAGAAAAACTTCCTGAATTCACAAATACCCAAAACCAAGTTACAGCTTACAAGACATCTGTGCACCAAACATTATTTACTTCCACTAGATGTCCAACTACAAGGCTAGCCCAATTTTTATATTTTAATCATAGTTTAGACATGTAAGTTTATCTCTCCACTACATGTATGACACATGCCACTTTTACTGGCAAAGAGAAAACTGAGGAAGTTGTAGCTATGAGCCATGCCTCCATGGCTGTCTGAAGCAAGTAGTTTCTCATGCTGAGTACATATGGTAGGATCATTAACTGCCGCATCACAGTAGTTAAGTGCTGCTGCCAACTCTGGTCCAAACAATTAAATTATTTTGTTTGCTTGTTTTGTCATTTTATCTATATGCTCAGCTAAGTTAGGATCCCAAGGGACATTTGAGTAATTACTGAAGTTTTCCACAGACATTTTAACACATTATTCACTCCCAGCTAAGCCAACACACTAGTTGAGTATTTTGTGAAGAGATTTTTCTGTGATCTACCTCTAACAGTGCAGAAAATCTAACCTAGCTTATACTCCTAGCACTGGATGGAATATTTTTGGAGATAAAAAATGCAACATATCCTTCTTTGCATTAGCTAGGAGGAAATAAAGATTTGATTGGTACCTCATGCAACAGATAGATGTTCTGTTGCTTTGCCAAGTACCAGTGGGAGGATGGGGGAGAAAGAATCAGCATCTCCCACAGTGCTACAGGACACCAGTTGAAAAAAAACTATAGTAACACTTCAACAATCAACAAAATGAAACATGTGCCAGCTGAATATTCAGCACAGTCCTACACTCATCTTTTACAGACACAAGCAACTTAAAAGCTGCACATTTACAAATCATATATCATAACACTGCATAAAAATGCTTTGCTTGTTTCCGGTACCCAGGACAAAGCACATCTTACCTTAAAAGCAGAAAGAGATTGTTACCTTTCCACTTAATTCACAAACAGACTAACAAGTATAATTTTGAGATGTTACAATAGCCACATTTAGGCACCCACATAATATGAACTAAAATATGAGTTTCATACAGCAGAGTAATATTCACTATATACAGACAAGTCATATTGCTATGAAAACCTTAACATTAGAAATGTAGTTGTTTAAGCCCAAATTTTGCCTTTTGACAGAAAGACAATAGAACTTAGGATACTTCAGGGATTGCACTACAACGTTTTCATCAAATCTTCTCTGCTTGTGACAAACCAAAGCATTTGATCCCAGAGGAAAGAACCCTACAGTTCTGTGCTCACTGAGGCTTTCCCACAGCAATACTCTTTTACCCCATTC